ATTTAAAAAGTCAAAAAATCAAACTAAAACTATTAAAATTAAAACTATTAAAATTGAAAGGAGGGAGTATTATTCTTTCTTCCCTTATCCTTCCACTATATTATTTTTTTTCAGTCGCTCCTTGTACCTCCATTGATCATTATAGATTTTTATTTATTCAAGTTCTCTCTCTTTATATATGTATAAACATATTCTAAGTCAAAATTTAAAAGTATAACTTTTTATTATTATTCCATTGATACTTTTTTACTTACGTACCACTCCACCTCTCATTAATTTTTATTGTGACACCATCTTAAAATTTATCTTCTCACGTTTTCTCATTATATTTATAATTCCAAACAATATCCACCTTCACTCCTTTTCTATATTAATGATTTGTTTATTATTATTCTTTCGTTCTTTATCCTTCACTTTCTATTATTCTTCCTTAATCACTCCTTGCACTTTATCTATCATTATATATACTAGAGATGACGCCCTTGTGGGGTGTGTTGTTTGGTCCATCTTAAGATAGGTCAAAAGAAGACTCTTTTAATGAAAAATATTTCTATATATGTAAGTTATTATGTTTGAAAATTTCTGTAAATTGAAGCTGTTACTTTCTAACATTTCCCACCTGATTTATCGAGGTTTTATAATATATTAAATCTTTAAAAAAAGAGTTACAAAGTATATCATATTCTTATATTAAAGCAATGCATATACGAAATTTACTTAATTCTATCAAATTCTATTGTCTCTTGCACAAAAAATTCAAATATGAGAAATTCGCTCGAGTAGGTCATATAGTTTATGCTGCTCCTTCTGCTGGTGAGACCATCCTCCAAAAAAAGTTTCTAGTTTTTTGTTTAAGGACTGACATTACATGGTTATATAAAAGCAATTTAATTAACCAAAATACTGAATTGGAAAGAATTATAAATTCAAAACGCACAAAACAACTTTCAAAATTGACTATCTAGAAAATGAAAGAAAATAATACCATGTACAAGCTATAAGATGAACAACATAGCCAAAGAGAGAAACAAGATCTATTTTATCAAGTTCTCTTCCATAATCTAGAGGTTTCAAATCAAATTCATAATCACTAATCTAGAGAAAAAGCTCATTCAACACTCTCTAGCTCAAAGCCTCAAAAATAGGTTTTTACCCCCACAAAATAAAGCACGTCAATGAAATTCAAGCACTTTACTACGATTAAAAAATAAAAAATAAAAAACACGATAATTTAAAGAGAAAATTTAATTTTCAAAGGTAACTTTCTTGTGGATTTGAGCTAGTGCATTTATGACATGTATATTCAAAGCTAATTTCCAAGACGCTTATCCTAAATGAATAAATGCTAATCATTTTCCTTATAACTTATAAGCTTCTTCATATAATCCAT